TTTGTCATAATTCTGTTACCCCATGCAATTCTTTCTTGTGCTGAGAAAAGCGGTGCTGTCCCAAAACATAGCCCTGCTAAATGTTTATTATAGCTTTTTTCCTGTTGGAGATTAATTTATAATAAGCTAGTGATGTGCCGGATTGTATTTTATGCTTATTCTGTGATAGTGGTAATTTCAAAGAAAGCTTTGATAAAAAAATAGTTCACTATGCTTTGCGCATGAATGTTTTTACCGATTCAGCAGCTCAGCTTGTTTGAATCAAACATAAACATATCGACAAGCTACTTGCCATGATTTCAACTTAAACCTACTATTTCTGTATTTTTAAGACATCGCTGTATTTAAGTGCAACATGCTTGACAAACTGAAACAAAAACCAGTGGATGTCACACAGTACAGCTGAGAGTATACCGATGCAATTTGCAAAAGCATTTCAGTTCTGTCCCTCCTCTCATCTCTCCTAGTAACAAACTAAAATGCTCTTTTTTGTCTGGCTGTACGTCACTTGTGATGTGACTTTCATATTTGACAAAATACACATGCAGAACTTGTAGGCTGCCTTTTAACACTTTTTTTTTCTATCTTGTGCAGAGCTGGAATGATTTAAAGTATAATTACTTAGAACAGACACTAATGCATTTCAATTTGCACTTTGTTTTACAAGTTGGTTTGTCTTCAGAAATGTAAAAGTGGAAATTTATACAGCACCCACGGTTAGAGACAAATAACGTTAATGACTATTGGGGTTACATTGGGCCAACGTATGTAAAAGAACTTCAATTCAAATTGCACAAACCTTCATATCATACCATTAATTTGAATTGCTAAAACTCAGTGAGCTCCTTATGAAATAGTCATTAAGCCTATATGAAAAGATTCGCAAAGAGACGAAATGCTATACACAAAAAAACAAATTATGAGAAATTAAAGAAACCTGAAAACCACAACAAAAAGGTATAAAAATTTGTATTTATATTATGACGAGATAATGATACAACACAATACTCTGTGTGCTACAGAATGTAGCGAGCACCATGTACGTGCGTACAAACAAATCTGTACAGTGTGATACATCTGACAGACTACGAACCATGCCTTTGGCTCCGGCACAGAACCCACCCGCTAACACCTTTCGGTAACAATTTGACCAGTAAACAGCAGAAGGCTCTCCGTCAGTGCTCCACATGCACCAAAATGTCATCACTTAAAAATCCTTATTGCACAGACCCTGTCAATGGCATAAATCATGTGTAACCACATTTTACACCTCTCGTGCGAAATGGAAGGAAGAAATTCTGGAATTGGAGTGCCTTCACTCTGCTTTGCCAACAGGCGAGTCTCTGCCTGGACTTGCCTCCTCAGGAACCCTTTGCTGGAGTTAATTTACGAGAGTTCAGGTAGAAAGGACAGCCAAGGTGACCAAATGGTTTCTGATCTTTTCTGTTTCATATATCCCCTGCATTTTAATTCTAGGTAGCTACCCAACACACTTGGATGTTTCTTTTGCAGCTATCAAGTAACAACAGTGCATTTAGTCAGTCACTTAAGCAAATTGGCTCATTTCGTTGCCGGTGAAATTAATTTCTGATGTGATTACCCCATTAGTACTTGTAGGGAGTACAGCTCTTCCTTAAAGAGTATCTAAAGGGATTCAATTCTCCTTCCACCAATTTTGGAAAGTGCAAGTTAGTGGATTAAATATCAACACTGTTACTGGCTCTTACCGCACCAACCAATGGCCTCTAATAGTTAAAAAAAAATTAACAGATTTCTGAGAGAGTAATCTGTTTTGCAGAAATTTCCTTATCAACACCAGCATAAAATGAAGTGTATAAAATTAATATTACTTAACTAAAAGCTGTGATGATGTGGTTCTTTTCAAAAATATGTTTCTTTTCCATAGGGCTGATCTGCAAGGATGAAAAATTTCACCGCTAATTACCAGTCTGCTATGAAGTTGGCAAAACAGTGAAAAAATCACTCGTCACAGTAGCAGAGACTGCTGCAAGTACCTCCCAGAAAAGCAGAAGTACATCCTGTGGCTAAACACGCCCCGGGGCTCGGAACGGGAGCAGGTCTGCAGGCTGAGCTCACGCAGATGCAACTTTACCTCTTCCCGTTTCCTTGTTCTCTTCTTCTGGCATTTAAGTTCATCCACTGAAATGGGTTATGCAGAGTGTACAGTCGGATGCTCAGAATACTGGTGTTTATCACAGTAATTTATTGGTAGATCAATAGAAGTAACTTTTTTTTTAAATACAAAATGATGTTAGGCTGCATGTGGTATAGCTGAACCCATGTCAAGAAAAATAACACTGTTTAAGGACAGAAAAAGTCTTAATTCTTTACGTTAGCTGCAAGTTGTATTAGATTTTAATTCTTTTTTTTTCCACCCCAAATCTTACACTAAGAAATTAGGATAGAAACTCATCTATAAACACCAGGTGAAAAACCATCCTTCTCATGGATTTTTGGGGGCCTTTTTATTTCTGCTTTAATCCGATAAAACTCACTCTGAGCCAGGTTTGGTTTTTGCACAAGACAATCCGGGATCCAGGCTCTGGGTAGCAATGTGTTGTAGAGTTTCCACTGGCCAAACCCCGCTCTTTTCAGAAGATAAATAAATCAGCTGCAGTGGGCCTGGAAGGGTACAAGTTGGGCAGAGAGAGGATGGGCGTGAAGGAGGATTCACCCTCCGAATTGCAGTGGAGAATCTGCAGAAAAAGCTTAACAATTTTAGGCTGGTTTTTTTATGCCTGTCTCCTATGATGACAGCACTCACGGAGCTGGAGGAAGAGCTAACCCAGGAGCAACGAAGAGGCGTGTATCCTACCGACACCTGCGTGCTGCAAGGGAAAGTCCTTCCTTTCTTCTTCCCTCCAGGAAACAGGCCAAACCCCTACGTCTCCATAAAAAGAACTTCTTGATGAGTTCATCTCTCCAGAGCCTCCTCCACAGAGGAAAAGACCCAGCAGCCCTGTAATCTTGTCCCTACTCCTTCTTTTCCTATGTGGTAATTGCAGAGAAAATAGATTAACTGAGCAGTGGTATCTCCTCACCTGCTAAAAGCACAGTCATGACACAGAACAGCAGAGCTGCCAAGGCGGTGGCAGTATTTAATCTCGCAGCAAGCAGTATGCTTTTCGCAGTCATGTTGTGATTACAGATACAGTTGCGCGCGCACACACGGATGCATGCATGCATGCACACACACGGAGCACACACACAAATATCCAGCTTCAAAAAAATTAATGAAAATAGAACACTGTGCATCCCAAGGTGCTATGGCCACAGGTAGCACTGCGCTGGCTGCTCAGTAGCAGGTGAATCGCATCCCCAAAGGAATGTCAGAGCCCCGACTGACTGCGGGTTGGCCGGGGCAGGGCTGGACTGCAGCACTGCTCGGGGGGCAGGCGGCCGCCCAAACCAGCCGCCAAACCCCACACTTGGAACAGTTGTGCCGTCACCTTCAACTGGGCTGCTTCGGTCCGAGCTGCAGAAAAGGGGGCTGTGCCTGAAAATACCACCTTAAACTGGGCTGTACTTGAGGGGGAATGACACAGGCAGTATGGTGTCATTTTTCTTTACCGGCATAATAGCCCCCAGCTGTAATAACTGAAAAAGTAAAAACAAATAAACCCTTTTTATTTCCACTCAAGATTATTCGAGTAATTTTTATTGAAAATATAAGATCTACAAAGCCATGGATACCCAGCGTGGAAGAACTCATTAAGTTAGCACATTCATCTTTAAAAGGAAAATTTCAGGTCGACCTAAGGTACAATAATGTTCAATTTAAAATCTCGTTTTTCCTTCTGTAAGTTTCAAATCTCTTTTCATTAGGAGGTTCTGTGCAAGAGCTGCTTGTCATGAAAGGAAACACTTTACAATTCATGAACGTGTTCATTATATAATAAATGAACAGCAACAATATACTAGCCTTTTTTTTTTCCTGTTAACAGTCGTGTGTTAAAGTAAACTCTTTTTTTTTTTTTTTTTCCATGATTTGGAAATTAGTTACATATGCACCAAAGGAGCTAGTAATTTCTGCTGCTTGTCAGCTACACACAATGAGTATATTGCTGTGTGCTTTCCCCAACAATGAGGATTTTAGTAATATGCAAGGTGTATAGAACATAATACCAAAACCTGCATCACAGAAAAGGTTAATTGTTTTCTTATTCAGCTGCCAGAGTTTATAACCTTGGGCCCCTCCCCAGAGCCAAAGTAGGGGTGGCCATCCATTAGGTTATGTAAATTAAACATACACGTTTTCCTTGTTGGCAAGTTCCAAGCAGTAAGCGAGAGTGCAAACAAGGATCTGTAAGCTGCCACAAAATGTATTCATATTTCTACTCTGTGTTGTAAGAGCCAAAGGGAGGACACGTATGTCAGATGTTGAAAGAACAACTGAATCTTTGTTTTCGATCATTATGGTCAGTCTGCCATGAGGTCTTGCATCCGAATGCTAAAAATGGCACCACACTTGGACATCCCATAGCCTTACACAGTACATTTGTGTTTCCCTAGCCACTGAGCACTGGTCTCACAGAGACCCTGACTTTATAAGCTAACAAAATATAGATTTGGGTGCTGAAGAATCCAAGGGAGGGCTTATACAAAGACGATTAACCCTCGCACCAAAACCTAATTTTATGATTTTACTTAAAGCCACACTGAATCAGTTGTGAGAGGGTGAAGATGTAAATACACCTCTCTGCTTCATCCGTAAGAAGGTGGACAACTGACCATTCGAACAGAGGGTCTTGAAACAAAGCTTAGTTGTCCTTTAAACAATGAAAAGGAGAGGCATACATAAATGGTCACCAAGGCACAATATGACAAAGGTGAAGAGTCCCTGAGACTCTGGTCTGGGTCTGTACCATTCCCCTCCCTATACAAGTAAATGAGAACATTTAGGAAAATATAATACAAAATCTCTTACAGGAAATATAGACTACACTTGCTAAAATCACTTCCCTAAAAGTGTTTATAGCTTTTTTCTTTTTTTTTTTCCTTTTTCCTTTTTTTTTTTCTTCTTTTTTTTTTTTTTTTAAAAGACCTTCTTTAAACAGATAATGCAAAGACTGGTCCATTTTTTTCTTACCCGGCAAGCCAAGCTCTAATGACTTCACTAAGCAGAAGTTGTATTAAAATACATCTTCATAGTATTGCTACGATTTGGGTAAATATGTTCTGAACAGCTTGATGAGTACTAAATAAACTTTGCTGTTTTACAGCATACATTTTAATTTTTTTGCACTTTTTTAAGAATAGAAAATACAATTATAGTGTGCAAAAGAAAAAAAAAGATTAATTATCTTCTAGCTGAATACTGTAATTTTAAGCCATGCCTTCCATAAAAATGTATTGACATGTGTAAATAGAAGAAAAGAAGAAAAATACAAGCAAACAGAGATTTCATTTCCTTGCAAGGAAAGATTAACTATCACAAACTGGATCACTTGAGTTCTGTATTCTTCAGACAAAGAAATGAAAAAAACAACCCAAAAAACCACTGAAATGCTTCAAATGTCATCCATTCCACGATAACAGGTTAAAATTGCAGTGTTGCTTTCTACTACTCCCGTTAACATGGATAGAATGATTTGCTGCTGGTTGGATATTGAATACAAAAAAGCAAAAGAAAGTTGAGATCATCCCACATGAAGTCATTATTAGAGCTGGCTTTTCCCCCGTTTTGAAGTACAGTAGTGACTTGTAAATATGACCTTTTCTAAAGATCATCTGAGATTTGAAGATTTATCTGCCTGCTTCACCCAAAAAACTGCTGAAAGAATTTGCTCTAGACAGCTCGCTATACAGCGTTCAAAATGTTTTGGGTTTTTTTCATGAAAAAATACCACAAAAAGTAGTTTAAGGTTTTTGTATCTCTGAATCACTAACACATTGTAGATTCCGTTTATTCTTCCATGTTTGAAATGGTTTCTGCAAAAATCAAAATAACTGTCAAACTCCCTTACGCCATGCTTCCAACAGTTTGAATTTAATACTTCTTAAATGGAATGACAGAATTTGTTTTCTTTAATTTGCAGTATGGCTACATGAAGCTAGCTTTAAGTCACAACTGTACCTAACCACAGTTCTCTGCAGCAAACCCATGATTTACAATATCTAATATTGTGGTTACAGTGCAGGGAACCGTGGGTAAGAAACCTCCATGTCAGAGTACTGTGGTTGGGGTTTCCCGGAAGAGTGGCAGTTGACACCTCTGGAATATTCATATATAAGTGCTTCAGTCAGATGGTCCTGAGTTGAACGGGTAACTCAGGCACTATGAGAGCCTGGCATTCAGTCTGCGGGAATGTGTGTAACCTCCGTCACTCGAACCGCTTTGCAAACTGTAGTGGTCTTCAGCATCACTGGCACTTCCAATACTGTCCATTTCACCTGGAGTAAACTCCATTCCTTCAATGTCTACTTCTAAAGAAAACATAAAAAGGCACATTTTCAGAAAGGCAGCGGTTGTAGCAAGTAATCGTGAGCCAGTAACACCTGTGTCAATCAACGTTCATGTGAAACCTGTATCATACTTCATTTTCTGTAATTAAAAAAAAACCTGGAACACTAATTCCTGAGGAAAGGATCATCTTGTCCACCTGAGAATTAAAATCCCTTCTGTCCTCATCCACATAAATACACTGCATGACATCAATACCAAATGCTGTCACAGAACCGTTCCAAGGTGTGCCTAGACACTGATCTTAAAAAAAAAAAACCAGAAAACCCTCAGAGGCCACAATACTGCAGCACCGTTCATGGTAATTCCAACTCATACAGGTGTCGGCTAGGAGCGACCGTGGTGTAGCCATCTGCCCACCGGTACCTGCACCGTGACTGACAACTCCTCTCCCATAGGCCCTGAAAAAGTCAGCCTGTGCGACTGTTCAGGCACAGAAAAGCTTCAAGTGAGAAAATAAGAAATGGTGACAGGCAGCTTAAAGAGCTCCCTCTTAAATGAGAACCAAATGTGGAGAACACTTGGTGATCGTTACAGAGAAAATATTTTAAAATTTCACAATAAATGATTTGGAATTGATTTATTTAGACAAATGAATTAAGACCAATAAGATCTTTTTTCCCCAAGAAGAAAATATTATGCCAGCCTTACCAATAATTACAGTTAAAATTCGGAACATTAAATGGTAATTGTTTAAAAAACTGGCAAAAATACATGCAGTATAAATAGCTTTAAAAATACATGCAGTATTAATAGCTTCAAAACTGATTAGAAAAAAGAAAGGTTTTCAAATAATGTAAAAAAGATGCAGTAGTTTTTTATTCTGCAAATCGCATAATGGAACAATTTTGACTGGGTTTTGTGGAAAGCTTGATTTTATTTCTAAATAATGTTTTCTTGCTTCCCTACTTCCCTTTTCTTTCCTGCTCCTGCAACTCCCTTTGGGAAGCCCTCGTTCAATTACCTTGTTCAGAGTCAGTGGATATTGTTGATCCCATACTGTCAGTGCGGATACGCTCCATGCCCTGCACGGATAGCTGCTCCAATCTGCGTTTGAGGTAGCGGTGTTCCCGCTGTAATTGTTCTTTAATATTTAGAGCTTTTCGGTCCTGTTCTTCCAATTTCTTAAAGGGAGAGAAAAGATAGTAAGCCGACAGTTTTTACTCATGTTAAAACATAAGTAACGTAACATCTTTTCGTAAACAGTAATTTTAAAACAATTTACATTTAAAAAAATGAATTTAAATTTAAATTAAATTAAATTTTTTAAATTAATTTTTTGTAACCATTTCTATGGAGGTCAGTTCAATTTAAGCTGGCAAGGCCAGAACTGAATTTGTTTCACAATAAGATACATGGATACAAGGGGGAAAAAAAAATCCCTCAGAGACTCTCTTGCCACTAGCAGACGTTCTTCAGCTAAGACCGAATTATTGTTGCCTTGGTTGTGGGGAATATTTAAATCATTTTGTCAGGCAAAACTGGCATCATCTTTGATAACTAGAGTGCAACTCAGGTTTCAGGCAGAACATAACGCCTCTTTAGGTGAAATAGGAGACTTGTCATCATAAAGGAACCATAGCGAGCCTCCCGAATGCTCTCCCTCCTACTGCAGGCTATGGAAATTTTTACCATTTAAAAAGCTTCATTAAAAATAAGCAGTATTATATATAGTAGGAGGAATTTACTAACAATTCTTTTTATTCTTGCATTTTTTTTCCTTGAACTTCTGCAGAGCGAATGTCATAATTCTGTCAAATAATCAGTGGTATTAATCCAAAACTTCTCAGCAAACAGCCTGTGAAAGGATCCTTCCACACATCTACCTAAAACCTCCCCTCTTTGAATAAAAGAAGGTATTAATTTTGGAAATAAAAAGAATACTTCACACCTGGTAAAATGTGCTGCACTGTGGGTCCAAATGCAGTAACAGAAATAGTATCTTTTAAGATTTCAACTGAACCCTCTTCCAAATCACTGATAGCCATTTAAAAAAAATGACTATAGAATTAGGAAAGAAAGTGTAATGAGTATGATGGGATCAAAAGCAGGAAGGACACACAAACCAAACCACCTTATATTATTTTAAAAAATTATCTAACTGATGAAGTAAATTACAGGTTGTAGTAGCAAAAGCATTTACAAGAAAGACCAGATTTCTCTGTGATCTGTGTTTACATGACCACTGAGATTTAGGAGTTGTGCAGGGAATGAATACAGCTGCTGACAATTCCTCCCTACCATGTGAATGAACCTATGCTTGGTTTTCTGAGGAGAGCAGGGTGGGACAGTGCACAGCAAACCACAAGCAAAACAATTTCAGAGATTTTGTTGTTCCAATGCAAGCCTGAAAGCAAAAGTATTTAGCTTTGAAAAAATAATTGACACTATTGAACTGGGCAGTTTCCTGGCTGAATGAAATCTAACTTCTGCAGCCTTGTGTTAAGCCCCCTCCCAGGCAATACACTACGTAGATATGCATCATACGTGGATACACACTGTTATAATAAGAAAAGGGGTTGGTACATCCATGTACACAACAAACCAAATGTGCCCAATTGATCAGATTTCCTTTTCCTGTATTTTTCTGGCTGCAATCCCAAACTCTAACAACTATTTTAGGAATGAACTCAGTGATTCATATCCAGGAGACTCAAAACCGTCCAATGTTTCAGGGCAAGTTTCAATATATGGTGTGAAAAGTTCAAAACTAATGACTGTATTAGAAATGGCAGACAGGCATTGGCATGCTCTGGCAGTGCAGCGGGGAGGTAGGATGACCTGATGAACAGGAGCAATTAAGTGGCAACCCAGTTAGGGTAGGTTCAGTTAAAATCTTAGAAAAAAAGCTAAACTTCAGTTTCAGTTTTCAGAAAATGAGTACTTGGTACTGTGCACGATGGACTTGGAAAGAATCTGTTCCTAGTTTTTTTTATCAGCAGCTGAAATGGTAACTACATGGCTAATCTCTCACACTTGCCACTTGTAAAAACAGTTTTTCAATTTGTATGCATAAGCCCATGATAGGGGGGCAGCCCAAGACAAAAACCACATGCAGTGCCTTTCACGCATGTTAGCCTGAATTATAAACAAGAGGCCAAAATCTCAAATGGTAAAAACAAGGGTTGCCCAGCTGGAGTAAATGTGCTTACAAGAGCTGAAAAAGTAGCTCAGTAAACTTGTTCACAAGAATGGTTTTGCTTAAATCCATCTTTAATACTTCATATGAATTACACCCATTTCTGCAACTGCAGTGAATCTTAATGCTGTACAGCAGCAGGCCATTCTCCAAAATATTCCAAGATTACTGACAGTGTTCAACCTCTCTTGACACTTTTCTTGACCTGTTTCGCTATAACACTGAAAAAATGCCAGATGAATAATTACAGTCCTGGACACAGCAGCACAAACCTGTTCTTTAACTTCTACATTTAAATACTTGTTTGTCTTATTTCTGCACATAACCCTGTTCCCCTGAAAACTACAACAATGAAAATGGGAGTGAAGGTGTCTTTGGAGAGAGGAGGCCCGAAGAATAATTCCCTTGGAATTACCAGTGCAAATGTATAGCTTGCACTGCTGCGGGATCACAGGTGAGATTTTGTTTTGGTTTTTGTTTTAAACTTATTACACACAAGAAACATGCAAGGGGAGCGGCAACTAACAGGAGACTGCATTTCATTTTTGGTTTCTTTTAAATGATTGTCAAATGCTCCAGGATCTGGTCATCAAGATGTGGGATGGGGATAAGGCTTACTAGTAGCTATAATTCCTTTGACTCCATTAGTTTTTTCGATCATGAATAGATTTGGCTTTTTGCATTGAATTCAGTGCAGTACAATGCTACTTTGCTCAGTCCTTAAAAAATAAATCAAAGAACAGCCTTGATACATATATATTCTTTTTTAAAATACAAAGTAAAGCATTAGTAACGAAGCAGAAATCACAACATCACCGTTTTTTACATACCTGAGACTGCAGGATAAATTGCAAAACACAAAACCTTGATACTGTGACTGAAATCCTTGCAACTAATAAAGGCCAATATATCCAGAAGATCGGACATATGGATATGGATTTTGTGTGAAAATTAGTTTCCTCTCTATGGATACACATTCTGGAAGACTGTGCTTTAAAAGAAGTAAAAATATGGATGAATGTTTTTACCTTGATATGCATCTTAGCTCTTTTCAACAGACTTAGAGTGGTGTGTCTCGTGCTGTCCGGCCCGAGAGGCACGAGCTGTTTTAGCTGTTCCAAATATAGCCGGAGTTTAGCCCGCCTGAAATTATTAAAAACGGAGAGCGTTGTAGTAAAGTTGCACCCGAACAGCATATCCTATATGCAAACACCATCTGTTTGCAGGATCTCTGTGCAGAACTCGATTCTACGGTGGCTTCCTTTCCCCTCCCTTTGGCAAAGTTTCAGACTGAAAGGTCACTTGAAATGCAGTTATGCTGCTTGGCGCATTCAGACAGTAGTTTCATACCTATATTTCAAAGCAGTTTGCTCAGTTTGGTTAGTCCCATCTTAACAAAGAGGGGGTACGCTCAGAGATCTGAGAAATCCAGGCAAGGCTGCACACTGAATTCATGGCTGGGTAAGGAAAAAAACTGGGACTTCACTCCAACCCAGTCATTTTTGCAGGCAAAGATGGAGCTGTGGGAGGGAACAGGGAGGCTGCAGACCCTGAGTCCCCTCTTCCCCATTAGCCCTGCCTGATGCGATAGACACGCTCCTGCTAGACAAGGCAAGGGCATCCATGCAGCTCTGCACAGCTCCGAGGTGCTTCCAGCCATGGTTTATCAATGTATTGTAACAGGGAGGTCCTGACCCTCCTTCTCCTCCCATCTACTGATCCACAGTCCCCCCGAGGAGGAGACATTCCTCCTCTCACTGTACAGCCAGCACAACATTTATAACACACACACAAGAGAAAATAGTTCCAGCCATATTGGGTCCTGCTTTCCCCATTATTCCTTTGCAAGTATCACTACTGCTGCTCTCAACTCTCTCTCCTGTACTAATGACATTAAATCCTTCAGTAAAAAGAGGATAAACAAAGTGGTATCTCAACAGATACTCGGTTTCCAAACATTTTGTCTGTCTCTGAGAAAGAAGCTGGCAATACAATAGTCCATGAAACAGTTGCTTCAACTATCCAAAACAAGGAAGTGGCAAACCAACAACAGTGTGTGAGTGTGTTTCTACAGTTAAATCCAAAAGAAAATCCCTCTTGGTTTTAATGCACAATTCTTGAACAGGAATCCATAGGAAATCACTTTTCAATTTTGTGATGAGATAGAAATAGATGCGGAAGCACTTACATGAGCAACATCTCTAATATTTTCCTTTCTGCCAGTCTGTTATAGATTGAAAAAAGCGATGACCTGCAGCATGCCAACATCCCCCACAAAGCAGTAGTAATAAGTGAAGCGGTTCACAAGTGTGAGATGAATAATCATCTTTTTCAAATCTGCTCGATGCTGCACGGAGGAAACAAACTTTGCAGGAAATTTAACAGTTCTGGTCAAGAACAAACTTTCTTTTGAACAATCAGTTTAGAACAAGAATTCAGCATCAGTGTTTGAAATGCAGCTGAAGAGAGTTTAATATGCACCAAATGACAAATTACACATGTGTAATTGGAATGATTAGTGTAATGTGAAAACAACCTGAGAATTAATGGGGAAAAAAAACAAAGCAAAATAAAACCTAATTAAAATACAGTACAGTAATGACTACACACTCACACACTTAGTTCTGGCTGCCTATAAATCAGCAATGTATTAGGTAGGAAATCAAAGAGCATTGCTATAAAATTGTTAATTCTTTCTTCAAGCCACTTAGGGAAAAAGGAGTATTGGTGAAAAAGTGATTCTCAAGAGAAAACTGGTAACAGATTTTTTTGTATAGGCCTGGGGTTTGTTTTTAAATATAAGGCTCTAAACTTACCCATCTAAATGCTTTTATTTAAACAACAGCAACAAAGACTGGGATAAATATTCACAAAAATAGCCCCATCAGATCGCAGAGCGTCCCTGTGGCTGCTAATTTAAACTGGGACATTGATCTTTAAAATAGTGGAATTCCAGAATTGGGGACTACTGGTATTAATACAGAAAATCCTCATCAGGTAAATTTTTATTTCCATGTCTATAACCTCTAAAAGCTACCTGGCTCGTTTTGTGTTTTAAATAAAAAAACTTGCTTCGGGGACTAAATTAAATTAATCTTTTTGGTTTTTAAATGGCGTCTAAATGCACACGCAATCATCTGCGTCACTCAGCACAACTTGGATGCAACTGTATTTAGACAGCTGACAAGAAAGTAGGGACTGAAGATAAAGGAGGATGTGGCAAAGAAGTGGACAAGAATAGTATCCAAGTAGTAAACAGAGAGTTAAATACATTGAAATGGAATGATCAATATACTTGCAGTAATTAAAAGTCTGATAAGGAATATACAGAGCTGTTAATCTGAGATCTACTTAATATTAATCCTGGAAAACATTAATGAAACCAGACCACATACTCAACTTATCTGCCTCTATTACTATCTGAAGAAAGTCTGCTTACCACAGGGAGAAAATAAGGATTTAGTGCACTTCCTTACCATCAGCTGGGGAATTAACAGAAACCAAGATCCAGAGGGCATGGCTGTGTGTCTTTTTAAAACACTAATTCTTTTATGTTATCTGCCAACAAGGTAAAGCAGACTTTACAGAAGTGCCATGAAGAACACAGGACTGAAGCTAAGAAGAGTATTTTAACTGACCAATGAGAAGAATTAAAAAGAGCTAAATATTAAAAAAAAATGCTTTAAGGCATTCTCAGCGCTAACAATTGATAGCACTAAATGTAATAAACACACTTACTAAAAGACCTGCTCTAACTTCACTTTTTTTTTTTAAAGGGACCTTTTCTTTCATTTAATTACTCAGCACCTATGAATCCATTAAAGATTTTAAAGCATAAGCTTTACGTAATGCAGGCATGTTTATGTGGCTAATTCATATATTATAACACAATAGCATAATCGATGGCATAGATTGTGAACATAAAAAAAAGAAAACGAGCCCATCACAATTCCTGTGGTACTGGAGTAAATATCCCCACGTTTTTCATTTTGCACATCTTAGATAACTGTAAGAATGTAAGAAAACATTTCAGGCATGTTATGTTAACAGATCACACCAGCAGGAACAGGGGACTCAAACTTCACAGCAGATAAGTTGTCGTGTACAGTCTCTGCCAGCACTAATTTCTCTCTTTTTCTGCAGGGACCTGACAGCTTTCGCTTTTCCTCGGCTGACTGTGACCGCCGAAGGAGGGAAAGGCACTCACAGAGGTAATCGCAGCCAGAGCGGCTTTGTGCTTTGCAGCTCATGCCTTAAATTCCACCTAGAAAATAAGCAAAAAAAGCAGCCTGGTCTCAGAGCAACGGGGTAACGATCTCTGTGCATGAAATGTTGCTTGAAGTTTGGTAATGATGCTCTGCTCCAGCTGTGAAACCCGACTGTTACACCTTCACCCACGCAAAGCATGGTGTCAGGCCAGGACACCGGTGCCTACAGAAGTGGGCACTTTTCTCACCTCATGTGGATGCACCAAAATATCCTCCTCGTCACTGCTACTGAATTTATCAGGAAAGGTAAAGATCTAAAAAAAGCCATCCAAAATCTGAATCCTCAAGCTGCAGCTCTCCATTTTGGGTACAGCCCCACGCATGGAGAGAGGCGCATGGGTGACCTGTCTCTGATTTACCACATTTTCTTTTCTGCCAGAAGATAAAGGGGTTTCAGATGTTCAACACTTCAGTGTTTCCCCATAAGTGAGCTCACAACATGGTCCTATAAATCTGCATTATAGCTCTTTTAATGCTTAATAAAAATGAATTACTAACCCCACAGACTTGGTCAGCGTTCCACAGCAGTGGCCACGTCCAGGAGCAGTCGGGTGGTTCATCACGTTCCCATAAAGGAGAATGTTACTTGTTGACAACTAACGTAACAGGTACCAGCTGGAATTCCCCTGAACTGGTTTTGAATCCATGAAAGCTGTGAGGGGCAATACCGGCAGGTATTTCAGAACAAAATGAACCCTGGAGCCCCACAACTTGGAGGGACAAAGCAGCAACACAGCGTTGTTAGGAATTTCCCCGTAGTACGAGGATATCCACCAGAAGTTCATTTGAAGACCACTCACTGACTCTAGTCCTCAAGAGACTCCAGTTTGCTGCAGTGCTTGGCTATGAAAAGGCAGGAGCAATGCTGGCCAGAGAAGTTACGGTTCACCACTTCTCCAAAAAAGGCTGCCATGCATAAGTAAATTAAGATCTTTGACTCTAACCAATTTCAAAATTGTGCTAAATGAGTCTATTCAATAATGGTCAATAAGCTTCTCCACATGTATGAAATCCCAGATGCAAATCCATTTTAGCACACCAATAAATGGAATATCAAGATGCAGAGGGAAAAAAAAACCCAAACAAAAAAGCCTATTGTTCACACTGGATAATCTTCATTCCCAAGGAAACTGCAAAAATTCCAAGAAATTCCTACAACTACTTGATGGGTGGTTGCAATGGGAACAAAATACTTCTCAGTAGGGCCAAATAATATAAGAAGAGGCAATGATTGTGAATTGGGATGGACATTAGGAAACTGATTTTTCACTAGGGCAATGGTGCACAATGAGAATAGGTTGGCAGAAAGGCTACAGAAGTGCCGTCCTTGGAGGTTTTTCAAGATGTAGCCAGACAAAGCCATCGCCATTCAGAGGTCCCTCCAATCAACATTTCTATAAGCACTTAAATCAGAGATTTCTTGTACAGCCGTAGCATTTGACTCACAAGATTGCTCCCATTCACGTAACAGCAAAAAAAAAACCCCAATTGTGTGACTTAAACTTGTGCCAGTCTGATCGATACAGTACTGGCAGGTTTGTGGAGTGACCCGATCCACCTGCAGTCTTTCCTCAGAGGCTCTCCAGGGCTTTTTTAGGTCCAGCACAGCAGATAGAAATGGCCTGCAGCTAGTCAGACAGCAGATAGTTGTTCAGGCAGTAGTTGCACAGTTTTTTGATAGCAGCGAAGGTGTGTTTCCTAAACCATACAAGTGTAAGTCTATAGACCTTATCTGTGGGAGGGAACAGCATCCATCGTTTAATCTGCACAGAGCCAGCTGGAAAGGCAAAGCCTTCCTTCGGCAAGTGCACGTCCAAAACAAGGTGCTTAGTCCTCAGCGTGGCATGCCTTAGCCAGGCCTCAGCGAAATTAAAT